AAATTAACTACAGAAAGCTTATAAGTGTTCCCAAGGAAGTATGATATTTAATTGAAAAGTAATGTTAAAGATGTTAAGACTTTAATGAACATTAATGATAGAATTGAATTGGAATGGAATGAGCATTTTAATTACATATATTTATAATAACTTTTTAAGAATATAGTGTGTATTTTAAGAATGTACCAAGCAGAATTCGATTGGAAGTTATGTATTATATTGAATGTTATAACCTCAAGGTATATATGGAAGCTTAAATAAGAGTTGAATGGATAAAATTAAAAGATATAAAGGTGTCATACTCCAATTAGTAACTACAGGAGAAAGTTTGTTTAATGAGAAAAGAAAATATGAAATTGAAACAGGACAGACAAAAGTATAAATATAATGATTTGAATTGATATGAGATAATTAAAATAAAATTGAGAAAATTAAGAGAGGAGAAAAACTATGTAAAAAATGTAAAACAGTAATAAGAAATGGAATAGAACATAAAAGTGAGCATGAAATTGAGTTTGCGTCTGTATGAAGAAGTGTAACCTGGGACCATGCTATTTTCAAAAAAAGATGTTTTATTTGTATTATGGGTATTTTTTGTGAAAACCCAAATAAAATTTTCAAAAAAAAAGAAAAAAGAATGCAGTACTGCAAGCTACTTCTGCTGACTGCCGGCTACCAGCAGTTCAGCAGTTCGATTCCCATCGGCTCAAGGTTGACTCAGCCTTCCATCTTTCCGAGGTCAGTAAAATGAGAACCCAGATTGTTGGGGGACATATGCTGACTCTGTAAACCGCTTAGAGAGGGCTGCAAAACACCTTGAAGTGATATATATAAGTAAGTACTCTCTCTATTGCTATTAAATGGGGCACCACTGGGAGAAGACAGTTGGACTATTATATTCTTGCTGTTCAATCATATTCCAGTATTTCTTGAGGAGAAGGAATTATAGTTCTATTCTAGTGTACATACTTTACTTGCATCATGTTCAGCATCCTAGAGATGAGGCTTATATTACTATATGGCTTTCCCTCTTCATATAATTTTATGAGGTTTCTGATGGTATCAAATCTTGCCTCGTGTTTTTCTACTCTTTTTAATCTTTTTACCTAAAATATCATAATAATTTCTCAAAGAAAAGGATCAATTCTTTTCTTCTCTGCCATTAAAGAGCTGCTTTTCTGGAAACCTCAGGGGGAAGCAAGAGCGAAGAAAAGCATTTCCTGGAAATGTTCCAACAACAACTCAAACTATATGTTCCAACAACAACTCCCAAAACAAAACAAAAAAGCAG